AACTCAAAAGTCACCCTAGCTTATGGATTTTCCTGCACAGACACTTTCATATTAGGAGCCTGTGGTGAAGACTCCCTGTTGATTTTTGTACATTTTAGAAGTAATAGAGAGAGATGAAATTTTATTTTATTTTATTTTATTTATTTTTTTTTTTTTGAGACGGAGTCTTGCTCTGTCACCCAGGCTGGAGTGCAGTGGCCGGATCTCAGCTCATTGCAAGCTCCTCCTCTCGGGTTCACGCCATTCTCCTGCCTCAGCCTCCCGAGTAGCTGGGACTACAGGCACCCGCCACTTCGCCCCGCTAGTTTTTTGTATTTTTTAGTAGAGACGGGGTTTCACTGTATTAGCCAGGATGGTCTCGATCTCCTGACCTCATGATCCGCCCGTCTCGGCCTCCCAAAGTGCTGGGATTACAGGCTTGAGCCACCGCGCCCGACCAGAGAGATGAAATTTTAAATTTTTTACTCAACTATTAGTAAAATAACTGTGATGGGTCACCTTTGTTGGGAATGATGTAAAAGAAGGGAGACAGGGAGGGCCCATGCCCAGGCCAGTGTTAGGATGGGTCTTTACGTTACACTGTGGGTCAAGCGGGAAGGACCAGGCAGAACGTCTGTGTTTCAATCTTACAGGAAGTTAGAATGAGGAGACGATTAAATTTACATGCATAAGGGCATGACCCCAGGCATAGAGACAGAGATGCACACAGTGTGACAGGTTCTGTGGCTGATGAGATTGAAGGTGATCTCTGTTTTCGTATGTAACCAAGCTGAATCTCAGCGAATTTTAGCAGCAGCCCCAGGATCATCACTTGGGACCCTGAAGTCTTGGGGCCAAGATTTAAACGTGAATTTCTTGCTTTATTCTCCAGTTTATGAAGCCACTTCCCAAAGCACATATGTTATAAACGTTTCCCCAAACCATCTTCTCCATATCTGGGGTTCATTGTCCACATTAAAAATAAATCAAAGACAAGCAGAAACCCAAATATTCTTGGGTATAAATTTTAAAATGAAAACAGCTGTGATGTACCTTCAGAAAACATTCACATTCTTAGCATTTTGGACAACATGGTTGGCCACATGAGTACACTTGATATTAAATTCTCTTTGTTTATTAGTTGTCCGTCCACTAGTAGGATAAAAAGAGCAACAAGTGCAGGAATCATAGAAATCTGTTTGTCAATTTTAATTCCAATGGAGTGCAGCAGGAAACAGTAAGCTTGAGTTTCACTTCCCCAACAGAAACCCCATGCAGGTGTTCAGAGCACGCTTGGTATTTCCATCACTGGCTGCTACTGATGTGATATGGGACATTTTCATCAACCCCAACACTGACTAGATATGTCTCAGAGCAATCATTAGCCCAAATTCCATTTACCTTTATTCTGATGTAAATGAATCCCGGCATTTCAGCTGTGCACATTGCTGAGTGCTAAAAATGTCATTCCTTATCACCCCTTGCAACTAGGTGTAGCTACTAAGATCTTATAGGAAGCAGTGCTGTCATGATACTTCTTAAGATTCTCTTTAAAGGAAAGGATATCCTTGTTCTTCCCTCTTTACCTTTCCTGCTGCATGAAATGTGGATGCAATGGTCAGAATGTCAACAGTTATTTTGAATCATGAAGCAATTTTGGTTATGTAAACAGTCAGGCATGAGAAACAAGAGCAAGTTTTTTAGTTCCTGGAACCATGAATCCTTAATCTCCTACCTCTGAACTACTCCTATGTGGAAGAAATGTGTAGTTCTATTTTGTTTAAGTCACTATAATTTGAATTGTAATACTCGCAGCTGAATTTAATCTGTTCTGATGAAGGAAACATCTTGCTCCCAGGTTCTTAGTGGCTGCAAGATAACTGCTTCCCCTTTCATCATACTCCCATTCATGACCCATATCGTTCTATACAGCAACTATTAGAGAGCAACTAAGCCAAGAATTCTATGCACAGATTTTCTTTGGTACTGGCAAAGTAGAAGCAGTGCTTTAAATCCTGGAAGTTGTGGCTCGGGAGGACATGTTGGTGGGAAGTAAGGTAGGGCCGTTGGGTAAAAAGAGGAAAAACCTTGCTAGGAAGGAATATACTTCATCTTTTAGAACATCACTGGGCCAGGCAACTAGGGGAGAAAGAATGATTGATTTGATGTCTCTCTACTTTCCACATTATTTTAATTTATGCACAAATGGGACTTCTATTTTTGAAATACTTCATACCAAATACATTGATTGAACTGCACCAGGAGACTAAATGATAATTAAACAAAAACGGGAGGAAAAGAAAATGAAACAAAATGGAAAATGGCGACATTAATAAGGCCAGAGTATCTATTATCATAATCAATATCAATGTCTTCAGTTCCTTCACATAAAGACAAATGATCTCAGACTGCATAAAACAATTTGACAACACCCATAAATCAAATTAACATAGAAATGTTAAAATTAAAGAGATTTTGGATTGAAATAGTATTAACTTATGATATGACTTCTCCTACCTTCTGATTGGAATATCAATTGTGGGTAAGAAAAATATGGAAACTCACAATACTATCAAAACTGAAGGCTGGCAATCTAATGGTAATTTTGAAAAAGCTGACTCTATTTGTAATTATGACAATTAACATTTAATGAAGGCTTATTATACACCTATATATACACTACAAGTTTTATAAAAATCATCTCATTCAATTCTCACAATTATTCCCCATTTTAAAAATGAGAAAATTAAGTTTTAGTGAGACTTTGCCCAAGGTCAAACGACTAATAAATGAAAAAGCTGAGACTCAGAATCAGGTGTTGAATGGTGAACCATATGGATTTTCATGAAGAAAATAAATACACAGGTTTGGACAAGACGGATATTAAGTTCAATGGGATACAGAGGTACTTCCTGAAAAATGTTGGGCTATGATTTTAATATTACCTACTTACTGTTTACTGACTCAGGAGTCAAGTAACTGCTAATCTGAAGACCTGGCCACATGCTCTCCCTGCGTTTTGGACAGTACTCTGTGAGCTGAACATTATGTTAGACCTTTTCTCACCCATGTCATTTTTCTGCACAAGATGAAAGGTGGTATATTTCAGAAACCCATAGGTCAGGAACAGACGGGACTCCATTAGAATGGTCTATTCTGTTGTAAGTTATCTCTGGTAATGTGCTGAGTATAGAATTTGGATATGGAAAAATGAACTAGAAACTAACATTAGTTAATGCACTACAGCAGTTCAGAGAATTAAAGAACACAACAGTGGAGACAGAAAAAAATCTAATATCTGTAGATCGGTGGTCTATCAAAACACACACACACACACACACACACGAAAAACTTAAATCTTGAAATCTGATCTGAGAAGCTAATTTGTTTCCCCACAAGTAGGCTAACAGTAGAACAAATATCAACCAAAATCCTACCTCATTTAAAGATGAGTTAAAAAAAAAAGAAATGTTGGAAAACAATATAAAGAAAAATCAATAAACTCAGAAAAAACAGATTAATAAAAATGATATACTGAAAGATCAGAATAAACGTTGAAGAAACTACACATAAACTTTAATAGAGAATAAAAGTAAATGAATATAAGAAAACAGGAAAAATATTACAGAGAGAGCAAGTAGAAATGCAAAACAAAATGAGTGAAATTATAAGAAAGATAGGTGAAATAAAGAAATATTTTAAGGAAGACTACAAATCAAATTGCAGATTCAAAATTTACACTGGAAATAGTAGTAAGCAAAATTGATTTACAGAGATGTAAGTAATATATTAAAAATTAAGACAAGAACATTTTTAGAATCCAGAAGGAAAGTGATAAAAGATATGAAGTTACAAAAACTATGATAATATATGAAGAAGGATGAGTATAGAATCCTAAAATATAGATGACTGTTCCTTAAGAAAATACCAGATCTTTAAAAAGTGGGAAAAAATTATTAAGATATCCTAAAAGACAGCCACTCTTGAAAAAGTAAAGAATATTTTTTTAAATTGAAAATTCTTAACATTCAAAACAAATGACTATAGAAACCTAAGTACATTTAGCCGACATTTTAGAATTATAAGAATAAAAGAACTACACAGGTGTGCATAAAGATACCAATATTAAGCTGAAATAAAATTTTACACATATGTTCATTGCTTTCTTCACATAATTGTTATGGAAAGATGTTTGTAGATATGTGAGTATTAAGATGGTAAGCTGAATACAGTACTGAGGTCCGCTTCATCATGAAACTGCAATAAGTCTCTAGTAAAGGAATTGTAGAAAGGCATGAATTAAAAAGAACAAGGGGTATAAGAATCAACAAAACACCTTTTGCAAGCTAGAAAGCAGAGGGAATCATGTAACTGACTCAGCAGGCCAGAGAAAGGTAAACAGTTTATCTAGAAGTCAGAAAAATTGATGGAAACTCAATTTAGATTCTCAAAATTCCAAAATCTGAGAAAATGGCAGAGCTGATACCTCTAAAATTGGAATGTAGAAAGCAAAATTTTAAAAATGGAGAACTTTCGTGAATCTGGTTAAGAAACAAACAGACCTTTCTCTCACATTAGGCCACTCCACACTGCTGGATTAATTACCTCGCACCACTATGAAAACAGATGGGAGGTTAATTCCCTGGAAAGCGTAAAACAGAAATCCCTAGGATTAAGGTATATCATTCACAGTTGAGGACTGGACATGTCAACTATGATCACTATTCTAGATAGTCTGACTGGATGAGGTTATAACATTCTGAGAAAAGAAAAAGTTCAAAACTTAAGATTATGTATTGGTACTTTCATTATTCTTTCTTCATCTATCTCTCCATATTTTGATGGGCAAGTGTATTTCACATGTGTAGAAGAGTGGAAGAACGTTTTCCTTCTCTGGAGACTCTGACCACTCCAAAGAATATGACCTGAAGATACTGATGTTGCGGGTTTCCTACCGGAATCTTCCAAGAGAGAAGGCAAATGGACAATTCCCAGCCACCCATCCACAGACAGCCTTGGAATAGGTTTCAAGCACAGCATTTTTAATATAAACAGACAGCCAAATATTGACAAACATTTAGGGGAATGATCCTAATGAAAACAGGCACTACCATAGAAAGAAGACAAATGCAGCACTCTTAGGCTATACAAAGAGAAAATAATTTTAAATAACTAACAATAATACACTCCCATTACCCTGCCCTTTGGATGCCATTACCACTAAGTCATATTCAGAGTTAAATTAATAGTCAATTTGTTTATTATTAAGAGAATCGTGTCTAAGGAGGAGGAATAATATTGAGAAATCTTTCAATTTCCAAAACATAATTCTTAGTTTTCCAAGGGTTATTTTTCTTTAGAAAATCTTAAGATGGGCTACTTTAGTAATATGAAAGATGAAACTCTTCTGTACATTCCTCTCATACTTCCCCCTTCAAAAAAATGAAGAATCCCATTAATACAATTAATAGGTAAATAACAAATACAAAAGAAAATAAGTATGAAATATATGAACACACCGTTTAATAACTTTTATGTATCTGGAGTTTTTTAAATGAGAAAAACAAAAACAATCACTTATTAAAAAGAAGGTGATAAATGTAAGCAAATATTTATAAAAGTACAACAAATGCTTATCACAAGTTTAAACAATGATAAACACAAAAGAACTTATTCTGAATTCAAATACCTGTGGCTAAGCCCATGTGTGCTAGGAGACAATTATGAAATTGGAAGTTCTCTGAATTAAACTCCACATAAAAACTAAAGTATAGTAAGTAATAATAATGTGCTAATTTTAAGCTTATACATATTTTATTAAAAATTTACAGTAAACAGAGCAATTATTATAAAATTCTCTACAGAGTGGAACACTCTCATCACCCTGCCCCTTTGGATGCCACTGCCACTCATATTCAGACTTAAATTAAGAGTCATTTTGTTTACTGTTAAGAGAGTCATATATAAGGAGAGGGAAATAATAAGCTCTAGACTAAATACTGCCTTACTCCAGCCTACAAATCATAAAAACAGGAACTAACAGAATGAAACACTTACCAAGTAAATTAATTGCATGCCAGAATAAAGCTAAAAATTGTATGAATAATAATCAAATCTCCCAACGGGTAAAATTTGCAGTGTCTGGCATTGAATAAAAAATTACTAGGCATGCAGAAAAAAGCAGAAAAATAAGAACAATGAGGAAGAAAAAATTCAATCAGCTGAAATAGAAGCCACATTTGAAAAACTACTTTAAAAAGAATAAAACTATATAAATGTACATCATAATAAAATTTTTAAAAATCTGTGATAAAGAGAAAATCTTACAAATAGGCCGAGAAAAGACGTGTTACATACACAGGAACAAAGATAAGAAAGACGGCCGATTTCTTATGAGAATAATGCAAGCAAGAAGACAGTCAAGCACATCTTTAAAATACCGAGGAGGGAGTAAAAAAGAAAACTACTGAGAAAAAATACCTTTCAATAATGAAGATAAATAAAGACTATTTTAGACTTACAAAATTTGTATAAATTCATCAGCAGCAGACCCACACAACTTGAAATGTTAAAGCAAGTCGTCCAGGCAGAAGGAAAATAATACCAGATGATTACATTGATCTAAACAAAAGAATGAAGAGCACCAGAAATGGTAACTAAATTAGTAAATATATATATATTTTTTTCTATATATATGTGTGTATATATAGACATAATTATTTAAATATCCTTAAACAATTATTGTTTAAACAAAAATAATAGCAATGTGATATAGTATTTATAATATGGGAAAAAGTGAAATATATGTCAACAATAACACAAAGACCAAGAGAGGAAAAATGAAAAAAAAATATTGTAAGGTTATTTTCCTGCACACAAAGTATTATAATATCACAACTATAGATTGTAGTAGTAAAGAGAAATATGAAAAATCCTAAAACAGCCACTAAAATACAAAGCAGATATTTATAGCTAATACGTTAACAAAGAACATAATATGGAATCATTAAAAAATTCAATTAATCTAAAAAAAAGTAGAAAAAAGGAAAAGAGAACAAAGAACAGATGGGACAGATAAAAGACGAATAGCAAGAAAACAAATGGGAAGATGGTTTTAAAATGTTGACTAGATGTATTTAGCTTTACTCTGCTATTTATTTAAGTCTGTTGGAATATTGAGAATTTTTTCAATTCGCAAAAAATAATTCGTAGATTTCCAAGGCTATTTTCCTTTAGAATATTTTAAAACAATCTACTCTAGCAACACAAAACACTAAACTCTCCTGTACATTCCTCTGTCATGCCCCCTCTCAAAAAAAGAAGAAACTCACAAATTCAATTATGAAGTAAATAACAAATATGAAAGAAAACAGCTATGTAATATATTTATGATAAAAATTTAAATATTCTGTATTTATTTAGAGTTTTTACAATGAGAAAAACAAAAATGATCCCCTATTAAAAAGTAGGCAACAACTATAAGGGAATGTTTACAAAAGAACAAATGCCTAATGAAAAGTATGAAAAATATTAACATTTTCCTAATTTTACATATGTAAAATAAGTAAGCTATTTTGCCTATGAAATTTACATTATTATAAATTGCACTATTCGGTTTTGCCAAAGCCAAGAGAAAATGTTACCTTTATGTAATCCTAATGAGACTGTAATCAGTCTGCAAATAAATAATTACTGAGTATCCATCATTAGGTGTCAGATATGGAATGCAAATTGTATTTTTATATCAAAATTCTTAAAATTTCTCCCAGCACTACTTCTCGTTGAAATTTGTTCTAGAAAAAAAATGTGAATATTTGTCAGGATTTATTGAAAATCTATCACATTTATAAATTAATAAAATATAACAACATAAATGTCAAATTGTAGAGAAGTGATTAGCAAATGGTAGCATCCATACAATGGAATGCAATATAGTATTTATATAAAAATATATATGAAAATATTTGTTTTATGTGTATATACAGATATACAAATGCACATACTATGTTTTAATAAATAAGTTATATAGGGCATAAACAGATATTTGAGTGCCAGTTTTTTCTAAAAATATTAAATCAAACCATGAAAAAGATTAGAAGGCTAAATACTATAACAACTCCTATAATTTCTCCTTTACTAGTTGATTTATATCTTGAATCCCAACTTCTCCCTTGAATTCCAGACTACCATAACCAAGTTGAAAGTTCACATGTCCAAAAACAGAACTCTTATTTGTTTTCCTTCCCCAAACTGACTCCCCACCCAGTTTTCCTAATATGAATAAGCAAAAATATCATTTTTCTTGACTGTTTTCTTTTCCTGCCTCTCACCACCAACCCTCAGCCAAGTACTTCCATCTCTGACTCTAAATCTGCCCCCTGCTACTTACACTCTTGCTCTCTAAAATCCATTCTCCATACAGCAGCCAGAGTTATTCATGGAGATAGACAGTAAAATGATACATACCAGAGGCTGGGAAGGGTGTGTGTGTGTAAAGGGCAGTGGTTCGGGTGAGAGTGATAAAGAGGGGTTGGTTAATGAGTACAAACGCAGAGTTAGATAGAAGGAAGGAGTTCTAACGTTCCATAGCAGAGTAGGGTGACCAGAGTTAGCAACAATATATTGTACATTTCTATATAGCGAGAAGAAACGACTTGAAATCTTCCAACACAGAAATGATAAATACTCCAGGTGATGAATATCCTAAATATCCTGAGTTGATCATTACACATTCTATTCATGTAACAAAATACGACATCTACTGTATAATTATGTACAAATATTATGTACCAATTACGAATTTTTGCCAGGCGCAGTGGCTCATACCTATAATCCCAGCACACTGGGAGGCCTAGATGGGTGGATCACCTGAGGTTAGGAGTTCAAGACCAGCCTGGCCAACATGGTGAAACACTATCTCTAATAAAAATACAAAAATTAGCCAGACACAGTGGTGCACACCTGTAGTTCCAGCTACTCGGGAGGCTGATGCAGGAGAATCGCTTGAACCTAGGAGTCAGAGGTTGCAGTGAGCCTAGATTGCCCCACTCCACTCCAACCTGGGCAACAGAGCAAGACTCCATCTCAAAACAAACAAACAAAAAAAATTAAGAGAGAAACAAAAACCTGTAGACAGACCCTATCATATAGGTCCCTTGCTTGAAGATCAATAATGGCATCTCACTACACTGAAAATAAAATCTGAATTCCTCACCATAGTACCAAAAGCCTACATGAACTGTCTCCTCCTGCATTACTGATCTAAGATCAACCACAGCCTACCATGTCCATAACTCTAAAGGTCCTAGTCTCAATCAGGACAAGCATGTTCCTACCTGGAGGCAGTGCCTAGATTGCTCCTCCTCCACATTCACAGAGATCTTTTCTAACCACTTCTAAACCAGAACTCTCTTGCCAGCATTCACCTATCCTACACTGATATACCAGAGATTTCCCATCATTTATGGCTCCCTGAATTAATGTGTCTCATTTACCTACTGATGTATTGAATGTGACGTCTAATTGAAAATCTAAGTCCTCAAGAACTACATTGCCTAAATATTTACAATATTGTAGTTGGTGTCTGGTTGCTGATTTTTATCTCCTTCTTTGTGCTTGTCAACATTATCCAAATTTTATATGACTGATAAATATTTTAAAGACAGGAATGAAAAGTTCACATATGCATAAAACATAAAATAACAATGGCAGAGCTTAAGGTGCAAAGTAAAGAGAGATATTTTCCTTGAGAACCTGATTAAGTCACTCCTTCAGTTGTGGGCACTTTTTGAAATAATCTTTTTGAGTGGAAGGTCAAAAAAGAAATGTCTTCTATTAGAAGAGAGATTAATATGAAAGAGCTGTCGGTAAATTTGGAAGAAACTCCATAGGTTAATTAGACCTTCTGAAAAGAGGCCAATAAAAACCAGGGAGAGCAAAGTGGCCTCTTTTGCTGGCCTGAATGGTTTCGGTACTTTAAGCCACAAGCGGGAGAAAGCCAAGAGCACAGTAAGAATTTAACCGAAAATCAATAGTCCATAGCACAAACTCCATGCTCTGTCACTCTGCCAACTGGTTCCCAACAGGGCAATAACATTTTAATAAAGTAGCTGTTAATTAGAGGTGGAGATTCACACGGTTTAGTTAACACTGTTTTAGCTAAAGGACGAAACAGAGATTTGGAGAGCTTTATTAACTCAAAGAACTGAGTCATGAAGGGAGGACTCTGGCTGATGTATAAAAGGGTTAAATTGATTCCATGTGCTAGAGAGAGCTCTGAGTTGCAATTCTCTAGAAAGCAACAAATCCCATAGTTACCTATCTATGTTGCTGTCTTGGGTTGACTTACTGGTTTCTCTGCCAGTAACGATAATGATAGGCTGAGAAGCGGTGGAAGCTTCTTAAGGGGAAAGTGTCACTTGACACTTCAGTGCATTCTCCTTGGGTTCAGTGAAAAGGGGCGGCCAATAACTTAGTGACTTCTCTTGCCCTTGTCTTTAGAAAGATTCACTCTGCCCCAAAAGGAGTGGGGAGTAGAATGGAATGATGACCATGTTAAAAGTCAGTGACCGACTTTTGCAAACAGAAGAATATATTTGACACACAGAACAACTGACAAAATGATGGCACCTCCTTCAACAGAGCAAGGCACCTACTACTGAGGCAGTAGCCTGCCCTGTAATGTTCAACTGCCCAGCAATTAAATGTAAAAAATAAAATAAAAAAGAAAGCTCATGATTTTGTGGAGTGATTTGACACTTTTACGTATGACTTTAAGCTCACAAGAATGGAGGTGTTTTAACCATTCACCTCTCCTTTAGCTATCAAGTTTGAGTTCCTGAACCCATCCTGGAAACTAGTGTTCACTTGAGCTAAATTTAAATTCGACAGATAATTGCAGAAGTTTTGAAGAATGAGAATTGATCCATGAAAACCAAATCTATTGTCCTATTCTCTCTTGAAGAGAGATTCTGTTCTTGAAGAACATAATCTATTCTAGTGAAACAAAGTTTCATTTTCCATTGCATTCTGGAAGTTTCCCTTAATATATAAGCTTCCTGCAACTCATTTGAGAGTTTGGGCACAGTGATACTGGGAATGATCAAGAGCGATGGGCCGCTTTGTTATATCAAGCCACTGAATATATTCATGTAATAATCAATATACTGCAGTACATGAATCTAAGAAGCAATGGAGTGAATCTGCCTTCCCATGGCAGACACCCTGGCCAAGCTTAATTACTTCGTTTAAACCTAGAGTAATCCAGGATCTCCATCTGCCAAATAAGAGTAATTGCAGTTGATACCTTTCTTTCCTAGAGGTATGTAGGGATCATTATTCAGATAGTATGGGTCAGGAAGCTAAGGATTTAGTGACAACAGCACCTGTTACTGAAGGGTAGTTGAAAAGAGAACAGGCTTTCAATGAGATAGATCAGGACTGGAAATCCAGCAACTCCATTTACTATCCAGTGAATGTATTAATGTAAAATTCACTTATCCTTTCAGAGCCTGAGATTTCTTATCAGTAAAACTGGGGCAAAAATATCTACCTCGGCATGTCTATGTGAAGATTATAGCCAATGTATGCAAAGTGCTGGCCTACTAAAGGTCCAAAAATAAGGGGAAGTGATTGCTTTTATATTTAATGGACCACTTGCCATGTAGTAAGTGCTTCTGTATTTAAAATAAGATTTCATGCTCCTTAAAGTTGGAACTCATGACTTGTGTTATCATATCCACACAAATTCTGAGAACAGTGCGCCCTGCAATAGCAGACCATTAACCTCTAGTTATGAAATGAGTGACTGATAACTAAAGTCCCATAATTTCATGTACTTTGTCTATGCCCGTGACTCCAATTCTTCCAGCACTAACCACTTCCTGGGGCTGGGGCTCCAGGCTCAATGGCCTATTTGACATCCCCACCTGAATTCCTGATAATAATCTTTAAAAATTTCCCAAATAGAATTCTTAATTTCTTAATACTTCCCTATACCTTGTTCTTTTCCAGTCTTCCTCTCTCAGGAAATAACATGCCAATTCACTTTGTCTCAAGACAGAAAGATTTGGCCGGGCGTGGTGGCTCAAGCCTGTAATCCCAGCACTTTGGGAGGCCGAGATGGGTGGATCATGAGGTCAGGAGATCGAGACCAGCCTGGCTAATACGGTGAAACCCCGTCTCTACCAAAAATATACAAAAAACTGGCCGGGTGAGGTGGCGGGTGCCTGTAGCCCCAGCTACTTGGGAGGCTGAGGCAGGAGAATGGCATAGACCCGGGAGGCGGAGCTTGCAGTGAGCTGAGATCCGGCCACTGCACTCCAGCCTGGGCGACAGAGCAAGACTCTGTCTCAAAAAAAAAAAAAAAAAGACAGACTTCACCAATGTCTAACCTCACTAACAGTGTATTACAGTACATATTTTCCATACCCCCAGGGCTCCAGGTATTGTACATACTTTTAAAATTTTTCAAATATAATTTTAGTCTAGTTTATATTTCCCAGATTAATAGTGAGTTCCATTTTCTCACTGGCTGCTTATGAGTTCCGCTGTTCATTCATGTGCCAGTACTTAGATCATATGCTGAACTTGTTTCCATACTACCACATTTACTAAGCAAGAACTAACTGAATGTTGGTCTTTATCCTTAACATATTCTCTTCAGTATTCTATATTTTAGAGAAACCCTGCATTCAAAGCCAAATACTTTGCTATTCTCTGAGTTATTCAAATCGATATGGTTCTTGTCTCACTTACAGTCCTATTTCTTTTTCTTGCTTGGGTTAAAGGCAAACAGAGAACTGTGCCTTAAAAATTCCATCGCACCACTGCA